GATGCTGAGCATGAAAATGACGTCTTCAAGTCATGGCTTACAGATATTACATTCCACCCTTATCTATCACTGAGAATAATGGAAATGCCCCTTTCTAAACACCAAATAATCACCCTCCAAGAAGTTTGTGCACCCAATGCATAACTTTTCCATCACCCTGGCCTTTGTTCATGACAGTATGTTTGCATATCCTGGCCTGCGTCTATTTTGTCCCACGTTGGCATGTTCACGTCACCTGGCCCTCAACCAAAACTTTTTCATGACACCCTGATCAAAGAGGTTAAGGAAACAGTTCAAGCTCAATAATGCCAGAATATACATGGAGGATATTTGTTGACTTTAATGATATAGCACCATAAGGTGTTATGCGCATCGTACACCAAGTGGGTGAACAAAGTCTATTGAATTAACAGTTTACATCTTATCTTCAAGATCGCCTATGGGTCCTCCAAGGATGTGGATTTAGGGGGTGTAGTGGCCTTTGCACTTTGCAGAAGAAGAAGAATAAGAAGAAGAAGCATGGTTCAGCAAATATAGACTATTTTCCTATGTAAAGATAAAATAGCAAGAGAGGTAATGAAGTCCAATATTTCCAAAATACTAGTAGTGCAGCTTTGCTAATCACTGCTTGATAAACACATCTGTTTAATTTTTTTGGCAATTCTTGACAGTATGGATGCACTTGCCAGAGACTAAGTCCCAAACTCCATGTCAGTAAATTTATTTATCAATTGAAGTTGCTGTGACTGGGTGTGCCTTACGAGCACACCCAGGCAGGGTTGATGGGGGGCTCTGCCCCCCAATACTCCCAGGGAACTATTGTCTTCACCTCAGTGTGCTTACGAGCACTGAGTGTACTTTGGCTGAGAGCGGCACTTTCCATGATTTTTTTTTTTATTTGTGGCACTACCGTTCATGTCTGCAAGTTACTTTTTGTATAGAGGGCTGCAACCTTTTGTCCTCAACAAGAATATAATTTTCAATTTGCCCTTAGTGCATCCACACTGTAAAGATTAGCCAAATTTTTCTAGTTAAACTAATACCATTGTCTTCTACTAACTGGTGAGGCTAATGCAAATGGCTACAACCCAAATCATGTATATTCTAGTGAGACTACTTGTAGACCTCCCTAGTAGTTTATCATAGCAATTTTGGTTGCTTCACACAACCCATCCAACTTTATTATTATTACTTTTTACATGAATTATTCTCTGTATAATATGTGTGACTCTGTTTTTTCCATTGCAAATATGAAATGACTGCATCCCTCCAAGATGAAGTCCCTATTACTCCTTGTACCAAAATCCTTTCTAACCCACAGGGTTTGCCGGTCACCATTTTTCTTAATCTTGGGTACTGCCTGCCAGCCCCAAGCCAATCTTCATACACTTAAGCCAGTGCCGACAGGTAAAAATGTTTGGCAAGTGGACGTAATAACAGGATTGTTGCCGTGCATCAGCAGTTTCCCGCTTGCGCCCAGCTCGATCAGTAGTTTGCGAACGACATTTGGCACCTAAAATTGTCTATTTTGCTATAATTTATAAAAATGTTATAATTTTGAAGGTTTACTTTCATTATAGGTGTCATTGCCTAAAATCTTTACATTATAAATGAAGCCCTTACTATTGGAGAAAAACAAACTCAGTCCGACGAGCCGGTGGCGCGGGAATGGGTATGATATGATGCCATCCGTTTTTCGATCCACAACAGCCATGGCATGTACATACATGCCACCCATCGGCTACGGGTTAGGTCTCGAAGCGATATTTGTTATAAGTTATTTTCTTAAATTTCTGACGCTTTTCTTTGCTTACGCAGATTATTTTATGTATCAGTATTTTTTTTCCCTCTCTTTGTGAAAGTGCCATTAGGTTTTACCTAAATTAATGTATACCAAATTATTACTTATGTGTTGTAAAGTGGAAAATGCCATATATGAAAAGTGCCATAAATTTTGTTGTTCCTTCTATTAGAGAGAAAGTTTACCCTGTACCAAATAGCTTCATGAAACAAATAATACCATAAAAAAAGGTTCAACTTCTATTTCGCCACAATGTGTGTGAAGATGTATATATCTACGGGAATTATAGGAGATGGATTATTCCTCTTTTCCTATATATTTCCCCTTATCCCCTACGATCTTGGGGGACATGTGGGGAATCTGAGGTGGGGGGGTGGGGGGGTAACTGTGATTGCCGTGCTTCCCTAGCTGGGTGCTGTAAAAAACAAAAACCTTCCTAAACCGGGGGCTACGCCACTGGGCCCCCTTCTGATCGGCGTGCTTCCCGAGCTGCCACAGCAACAGGCCTACTGGAGAAGTGTATCAATGTGCCACACAGTGACATCACTGCAAATTATATCAATCGTAAAATGTGATTAGATAACAGATAAATTTGTTTGATTAATGAAATATACTAGTACTTTATATTAGTTATGGACAAAGTATGGTATGAATGTATAAATTTACTCTAAAATGTTTTACACTCGTACTACTTTCCTGTGCGCCATCTTATGAGTAGCATGATTTATTTACACTGACTTTGCCAATAAGAGAAGATAGGAACTTAGTCTCGCAAGACAAATTTCGGAACCTTTATTTTTTTAATTGTATTATGCATTTCCACACTTTAAAATTGACCTTCTCGAATACTTTGCATGCTTTTCTTCCATCTTAATAGCATTTCATGATGGATGATGATGATGATGATGATGATGGTGATGGTGATGGTGATGATGATGATGATGATGACGATGATGATGATGATGGTGATGATGATGATGATGATGGTGATGGTGATGGTGGTGGTGATGATGATGATGATGATGGTGATGGTGATGGTGGTGGTGATGATGATGATGATGATGAGGATGATGATGATGAGGATGATGATGATGAGGATGATGATGATGAGGATGATGATGATGATGATGATGATGATGATGATTTTTTATTTATCTACTTTTTTATAGTAAAGAACTACAAATATATATTCAAATAATTACCGCACTCAGATAGGGAAAATCCAATGATACTCATATAGAGAGGGAAAAACTCTACTTATTGATACATGAAATAATCTGCACAGGTAAAGAATAATATCAGAAATGAAGAAATTAGGACACAAAAAATGTTGTGCAGAGATGAATCTATGCTACTCAGGTGGAGGTCTGGGAGAAGTAAGGCAATTGGGTGGGGGTACAGGGAGAAAGACCGTGGTTATGGAAGGATTTTGTTTCATATGGTGATATTTGTAGATTCCCAGAAGTGCCCCTACAAATATAATACCGACTTAGAGAGGGTTGAAGTTACTTTGTAAACAATTACCAGAACTTCTTTATTGATATTCATATTTTTGAACTTCCTTCAGATATCCCACTAAGTTCCCAATGCACAGTTCACAGGATAAAACATACCCAATATAATCACAATACGAAAGTCCAGTTTTGAAAGTCTCTACAAACATCTCATTACATATAAATTGAAATATTTAATGAACAATCAACTAAGTTAATTTCCAAACAAAAGAGTAAAAAAACATTAATATGATTTCTCTTTTCTACTAGAAAAATAAACTGGAATATATAATGACCTGTCACACTCGACTAGCAACCAAATCAAAATATACCATTCTTACCTAAACAAAAAGAGAAAACATAAGTAGCGCATTTACTCTACAAAGGAGGAAGCATATAAACTGCAGGGCAAATTTTTTTTTTGTTTTCCTCGAGCAAAACTTCTAAGGTTTGAATGTAAACACTGACATTAACATAAGACTGAAAGCACTTTCCTTCCCTTATTTTAGACTCACCGAGACCTAAATACCCTTCTCCATGGCCGCTAAACGAAATCAACCAGATCGTCTACACTTCCTGAAGCCAAAGGGTAGAAAAAGAAGAGGAGGAAAATAGCAAAAAAATAAAAGCTTTACATTGGCCTCAGCTGGCGCCAAGTTGAGCAAATTAAGTCTCGTCCCTGCTTATCCTTTCCCCGGCCACTTTTTTTACCCCTCTTGACCTCACTCGCACCCTTGACGCCTGCTCTGACCTGCCTTGAAGTCCTTTGACCCGAGAAATTAACCAGTTATTGTGAAATTGAGTGAGTTACCGGCGCTGAGAGAGGAAATCTTCACAATGTTTACAGCAACACACGTCAGGTCGGAAGCTCAGAGCTGATTGGCCAATTTTCCGCCCCGCTCAGGATTCCTGATTCTGATTGGTTTATTTCCAGCACAGCTCACAATATTGCGTTTTGATTGGTCACTATTCTGCCCCGCTTATGATTCTCGATTCTGATTGGCTAATTGCCATAAACGCCGGGAGGGAGGGGAGAGGAGGATTGACTTCCACTTTGGGGAGTCTCTATAGCGAAAGTACGACGCTATTTTGTCTCTTTCTGTCATTTTGAAGTGCGATGGATTTGTCAGATACTCTTCTAATATGCGGCGATGATAATGATTCAATCTTATTTGCAGTTTGACAGGAAAATAGAGTGGATCATTTTATAAATATCTATAAAAAAGATACATTCGTACTGAAACTACAGCCACATATTTAATTTCATCCATGCAGGGTTCCGAACAAAGAGAAGAGAACATAATTACTAATTAAGAATCTGAAGATAATACTCGAAAATGAAACAGTCCCCCGTTCAGTACACAACTCTCTCTTGTTGTTGACAAAAGGGGATCGGATCTCTTCGTCGGCGCGTCTGTAAGCGTGGAAACATAAGATAATGATAAAGACCGTAATAAAGCATGTAGGTATAATTGATAAATCCAAATATTTAGATTTATCGCCGGGAATATCCATTTGTCTAGTAATTAGTAAGACAATTTTTGTGAGGCGTCGGTGATGTAGAATCTCATCTTTTCATGAACCTGATTAAAAAAAAAAACAATCAAGGAACATAATTATCAACGTGAAAGAAATGAAAAAAAAAAAAAACGAAAAGATTAAACATCCACCCCACTGAAAAACAAACTTAACTGAGGAGTCGACTAAAAGGGATCGGATCTCCTCGGCGGCAGGTGTTCGTGTCATCTATAGTCGGCCATATTGTCCTTGTTGTTGACAGAAGTTGGAGAAAAGGGGAAATAATGGCCACGTTATCCGAGAGGGAGAAAAATAAGCTCGTTCAGGAGAAATGCCAGAGTATCCTAACCGAGCTACTCAAGGACGAGGACAACAAGTATTGTGTCGACTGTGATGCGAAAAGTAAGTGAGATAAAGGAGAAGACAGGGAGGCCTACATAGGCTTATATATTTTTGTTTATCTTGCACATGGGTACTAGCATTTCTTTCTTTTTCAGTGGGAAAGGCAGAAAATTATTGCTATTTTGATGAAGAGAAATTAGAAAACATTGTAGTGGTTGGCTTCGGTTCAAGATACGTGTTTTACTCTTTACCTGTAGTTTCCTCTTACCTGTGCGAAAAGGTTATCTTGACCATCACCAGCTGTAAGTCAGAAAAGCTTCCCCCAAAGAAACTTGGTTGCAATAATTATCTATTAAAATGAATTGGTATTCTTGAGTGTAAGTAAATGTGGTTTTGTCATACCTTATTTCTATTGATTATAACCATAAAAGTGTACTCTCTTGTATGGCTTTGTAGATTTTATCATATATGGCAGAATTACACAGCAAAACATATCCAATTAATTTAATTGGTATCATTCTGTGTCCATGAAATTCACTGTATTTTGCAGAATTAAAAAAAAATATTGTATTATATAGGTGTAGGAAGTATGAATTTTATTGACTTATTTTTATTAATTTGTGTCATTTGTGTATGAAATCAAAGTCATTAGATTGAATAACTATAGTTTTAATTGTAGTTTATA